AAGAACCAAAAAAAAGTCATTCTTGAAGTTTAAAAAATTTAATAAATCAACAAACAAATAAAATCACACTACCACCAAAATTAATGCATTCACTTTCAATTTTCAGTAATTCACACTTGTTGAAGATCAAAATTTAAAGTGTTACTCCAAGCACCATGACCACATTAGTGATCTGACATGGTCATGGTGTATGAACAAGGAGCATTTCAGTATGAAATGCTGCACATACAGTGATAATGATGTTGCTAGAGGTGTACTTCCACCTTTGGCAGAATCATTAGTATGTCATTAGCCAGTCTGGAGCAAGAGTTCTGGGATGGCTAATTTCAATTCTGTCCATATTCTATGCACAGAAGTGCATTCATTGACTGAGAGTGCTAAGTTGATGCTATCAACCAATGAACGAGCAACAGGATCAGCAGAGTTGGACAGGAAAAGTCAACCAGTGACTCCCAATTCATAAAACTGGCTTGGAAAAGGCACTTTTCTTTCCAAGCAAGTTTAGTGAATTTGGAGTTACTGATTGGCTGAGAGCGTCAGCTGACAACTCTCAGCTAATCAGCGGCTCCCCTGTCCAGTAGCACTCCTGGCTTCCAAATAGTCAAATTTCAGAATTCGGATGCTGCCTGGGGGGAGTGGACATCACCGCTAGAGGCAACTTTGGGGTAAACAGTTTGTGAATTGTTTGACCCCTTGAGGTAAGATTGCCTTCTGGGGGCCTCCTGGCAGCCTAACAATTTAATTTAGATGAAGTTGTTTTGGTTCCTGGACTGACATTTTAAGTCTAACCATCCTAAGGATCAGTAATATGTTGCTCTCTCTTTCTGTACTAATAAAGTAGTATAGGTTTAAAGGAACATAAATGTATATTCCTGATCCTATAGTGTTAATACCACCATTTAGGTGGCTTGACCCCCTTGCCCACGTTAAAGCTAGTAAAACTTACCTTATTTCCAGCGCCACTGGTTCGACCCCCGATCCACCTCCTGGCTGAGATAATCTGAATTGATGATCTCAGCCAATCAAAATGCTTTTCCATAGAAAAGCATTGGATTGACTAAGATGGGTAATTCTAATGATGTAGCAAAGGAGGCGGATCAGGAGCGGAGCCACACACCACCCTGGCCAATCAGCATCTCCTCCTAGAGATGCATTAAATCAATGCTTCATCTAAGGGGAAAGTTTATCGTCTCCATGCAGAGGGTGGAGACAATGAATGTCAGTGTGGCATACTGTGTGGCACTGCCCTTGGAAGCACTTCTAGTGGCAGTCTGAGGAATGGCCAGTGTCCTTAGGCTGTAATGTAAACACTGCCTTTTCCCTAAAAAAGGCAGTGTTTACTGCAAAATGCCTGCAAGGACTGGCTATATTTACCAGAACAACTACAATAAGCTGTAGTTGTTCTGGTGATTACAGTGTCCCTTTAAGCTCTGTTTAATTACCTACCTTACATTGAAACTGCTTAAAAAAGACTGTCCACCAGGGCTGTCAATCTGACAGCCCAAAATATTTAGTTTAGTTCTATTTTGTTCATACTGTACTTATCCAATAAACCTCCTGGAAAAAGGTTTATGGCATAAGATCAGTTCTCACAGACCTGCATGAGATGCTCCTAATTAAATTGTCTCTTCCCAAAACAGTGCACCATGTGACACTTCACAGTTGAATATATTTTTATTTTTCTATTTTCATTTTTTAAAATTCATTATCTGTTCGCTTATCCAACTCTAGGATGAAAGTAAATTTTGGTTTAAGATCATTTACTTTTGTGTGTGTTCTGTAGCATTGAAATGTCAATAAAATAAATTGCACTAAGTATATCTACTGCTCCAATACAACTCCAGAGCAAGCTTTACAGAATCCTCCTGCGCTCTAGGGCAAATTATCCAGCAATAAATCTTTATATGAAAGGGGCGCCACTATCACATTAATAGACAGGGCATTTCAAGGTTCTATGAGGTTCCCAGTGCTATTTTTGATATTCAAAACACAAGGAATGAATTCACCAAAAACAATTGGAGTAAACTGAAAATGCACATTGCAAAATTGGGGGGAAAAAAATGACTGATTTCTGAATATTCTTCACCTCATCTAGAGATACAGCTTAGCGATTTTACCCTAAAAATTTAATCTTCAATTCGCTAGAATCCAGTGTTCATTGAATAAACTCACATTGAATGAACAAAATAACAGAAAACAATTAAAATATTAAGAAAAAAAAATAGAAAAAGTGGGACAAAACTTAAGTTATTGGATTCCAGCTGTGAAACTGTGCATACTGTCAAAGGGACCTGGTCAGGCTGGTGTAATACTCCTGTGGAGTGGGACTGCCAGTCAGGTATACCCTAGTAGTCTGGCAAGGGGTGAGTCCCCATTTGGGTAATACCCAGATTGCTGCTGAACGGAATTAGTTTATGCAATTATTTTTCCAGGCCATCCCTGCCGGATAAGGTGACATTTACGGCGGAGTTTGACCAGCTCATGCTGGCTTTTATGGAACAGGGAGGTCACGACCTTCGCAGAGGGGTTGAAAGGAGCTTCTGGGGAGCACAAGACAAGCTCCTGGAGGCGATGGGGCCACTAGCCCGTGTAATGTGCTTGGCGGATGACGCATAAGCCCGGGCAGACTCTTTCACAATGGATATGGTATGTGAATGGGCACATGACAGAGTGTGGACCCAAAGGGGATTTAAATTTATTAGCAATACTAATGCGGCCCTCTCAACTGAGCGGAGCCGTGCAGCACTCTTCCACATCAACCCCAAACTGGCGGATCTTGAGCGAAAGAATTAGGCCCACGGGCACAGGGAAAACTATTTGGAGAGGCCTTCATGAAGGAATTAAACAAGCAAGTAAAACAGGGCCCGTATCTCCATGCGCAAGGTCTTTAGAGGCAACCCCACAAGGGGTGTTTTTTCCAGGGCTGGTCAGCAGCGGGGCCGTGCCACCGTTTTGGGCCGTCAGGACCCCATATGGGACACCCACAACAGTTCTACCCGGAAACTGGCATGAGACAATACCCTTCTCCGCCACGGACGCTGATCTCATGGAATTGGAGCTCCGCGACTTGCGCACGAAGGGCACAATCCAACGCGAGCTTGGACGAAGGGGCTTCTTCAGCAACATGTTTCCAGTTCACAAGAAAACCAGTGACTTCAGACCAGTGATCAATTTAAGGGACCTAAAACGTACACGTTACATAACGTCATTTCAAGATGGAGAGAATCCACCTCCTCCGAGACCTCCTGCAAAAAGGTGACTGGTTTTACGCGTTTAAACCTCTAACACGCATACCCGTCCATCCCAATTCACAAAGACAGTCACCCTTTCCTCCGGTTCCTATGGCACGGATTCACGTGGCAGTTCACTTGCCTCCCTTTCAGGTTCAGTTCTGCACCATGGTGTTTCACAAAGATGCTGAAGCCGGTGGTAACCCAACTCAGAACACAAAAGATCCGATGCATTATCTACTTGGATGACATACTCCGGTACTGCAGGACGAGCAACCTAGCATCACAACATACCGACTATTCGGTATGCTTGTTGAAATCTCTGGGATTCATTGTAAACAGGGCTTCGAGATAGACTCCATGCATGCTCCACCTCCTGTCCTCCAAAGTGACAGCTATCCGGAAAGAGATCCGCAGGGTCCTCAAGCTGGACTCCATCCCGCTCTGACAATTGCTCGGATCGTTGGCCTGCTGTCTTCCTTAATCAAAAGCAATATTTCCAGGCCCTCTGCACTACCGTGCCATGCAATGGCTGAAGACACGCTTCCTCAGACGGACCTCGGATGGACAACGTCTCTACATCAGTCATCTGACTCGGTCCCAGACACTGGTAGAGTTAAAGGGAATTTTCAATTATTGCCTCCCACGCAACATCACGATCAGGGCCGAACACCTACCAGGAGAGTCGAACCTTACAGTTGATTGGGTACTTCCAACACTGGAGAGACGCCAGTGACTGCAATTAAACCCTCAGATATTTGCATGTCTGAACGATCGGAGAGGTCCACTAATACTGGACCGGTTTGCCTCGAGCAACAACCATCAACTACCAGTGTTTTACAGCTGGCTCCCAAACCCAGAATGCACGGCGCTGAACGCCTTCATCCAACACTGTCCAAAACAAGGGGCTTAGGCCTTTCCCCCATTCGCAATGATTGCGTGAGTATTCCACCACATACGGAGACGAGAAGTGACGATCATCCTTCTGACACCACCATGGCCGAGCCAACCCTGGTTCCCAGACCTCCTCGACATGTCTTGCGAGGATCCAATTCTCCTGCCAGACGACCCAACGCAACTCCGGGACCCAGTGGGGAACCCACATCCTATGCTTCTGGACAGATGCCTGTACTCTTTCAGGGGTGCATGGTGTACCAACAACTTATTGTCAGCAACTAAAGACCTGTGGGATTCCTGGGCCCCAGGAACACGGAAAAGTTACCTATTTGCCTGGCGATCTTGGACCAGTTGGTGTGTGGGACGGGACCCTGATCCCTTTACAGCTCCTATTTCTGCAATCATGAATTTTCTCTCTTCACTCTTCGGGGAAGGCAAGTCATACCACACCATCAATGTCATCAGGTCCGCTATATCGGCAACCCATGTACTGACCCAAGGGAGGGCGGTTGGTTAAGACCCCCTGATCTGTCGACTACTACGAGGTATCAAACTCAGATGTCCTCCAGCTCCCAAATACCAACGTCCATGGGATGTGGACGTGGTGCTTCGGTTCTTGAGAGGGTGGCCACCTAACGAACTTCTATCCTTACAACAACTGATGGACAAATTTACCTTCCTACTGTGCCTCATCTCATTCCGACGAGTCTCGGACGTGCGTGCATTCGATATGGATATGGCCTTTACAATCGGTCCGGAGGGGGGTCACATTCCGTATTTCACGACAAACTAAATATGATTCGTCGTCCGTCTTCTACCCGTTCTTTGCCTCGGATCCTCAACTATGTATGGTTACAGTTTTGCGGGCATATGTGAAGGCGACGGAGACGTTGCACCCAACAGCATCCCGACAACTACTGGTGTCATATGTTAGCCCTCACGGTCCGGTTTCACTCATCACTATGTCCAGATGGATTAGGTGGCTCCTCACTCTGGCCGGGATAGACACGTCTTTCGGTGCCCACTCCGTTCGCGGAGTAGCAGCATAGTCTGCATTTATGACAGGTGCGTCAATTTCGGATATCTTACAAGTGGCGGACTGGTCTCGCGAATCTACGTTTCGGACATTCTATTTCCGTCCATCGTCTAACTCCGCGTTTTCTCTTCTTCCAAGCGTTAAAATTGCAAAATATGAAGCCTCCTGTCATGTTGTAAAATTGAAGATTATACTAACATAGTGTACTAATAATCTTAATTTTAGTAATGACAGAAGGCGAGTATTTCCCCCCACTTTTTGTGGTTCTTCCCAACCCTGGTATAAGGTAAGTTACAGAGTCATAGGACTTTTCTTCCAGCTTAACAAGTCGTCAATGCCAATAGGAGGAATTAGTTTCCCTTACCGTTTTCAAGTTTAAAGTTGGATTTCGTACAAAGTTAACCGTTTAAAGCGGCAGTGTCATGGCCGAATCCCATTTTTTTTTTTTAACTCCCCTCCCGACTCCACTACACCTAATTGACCCCTTAGACACCCCCAAATGACCCTAAGCCCCCCATATTACCTATTTGTATTCTTTATTTTCTGCCCTGATCTATATTCAGGGCGCCGCCATCTTTGTGTGGGTAGAGGAAGTCCCTGTGGGACACGTCATCTGCCCACACTAGATAGCGCTGTGAGATTCCCGCACATGCCCAGTGAAACACTTGGACATGCAAACGGGAATTTCATCTATTCATTCATGGAGGGCTCCGCGCAGACTGAGCACTGCAGGACGGAGAAGACTTATAAAGCCTTGCCCCGCCCTGCAATTAGGTTAAGAACACTCTGATTGGTTGGTTTAAACAAAGAGTGCTTTGTGTCATTTTACACAGTGTGGGAAAGTTCTTTGGAATTTTCCCACGCTGTGTAATTTGACTCATAACACTCTGATTGGTGGGCTTGGAAACTAACCAGAGTGCTCTTTGCCATTTTACACAGCGTTGGAAAATTCCAAAGAACTTCCCCACACTGTGTAAAATGACACAAAGCACTCTGATTGGATGGATTTCAAGCCACCCAATCAGAGTGCTTTGTGTCATTTTACACAGCGTGGGAAAGTTCTTTGGAATTTCCCCACGCTGTGTAAAATGACAAAGAGCACTCTGATTGCCTTAAACCCACCAATCGGAGTGTTCTTAGCCTTTATAAGCCTTGCCCCGCCCTGCAGAGCTCAGTCTGCGCGGAGCCCTCCATGGGTGAAGATGGATTATTTTTTTTGCGCTCAGGTTTTTTCTTTTTCGTCAGGTTATTTATTTTATTTTACGTTCAACAGGTATGATGGTTTTTTATTTGGCCTTTTTTGGGACTGAAAAATTAAGATTTTAGAAAAAAGATGTCAAATGGTAAGTAAAATTTTTCTTTACAGGTTAGTTATTTTATTCCCCCCTCACTATTTCTTAGGGTGAGGAAGGTATGTAGGGGGTAACTTTTTGGGGGGGGTTAACTAGGGGCTTGGGGATCCCTAGTCACCTTTGAGGGCCCCCACCTTCCCGGGGGGGGGAAGGAAGGACAGTAGGTCCCCCCCCTCATTATCTTTATGGCCCGCCACCACCTAAGGGTGGGTGCCGGAGGAGGACAGTAGGTCCCCCCCATTGTAATTTATGGCCCCCACCCACCACCCACCAAGCAGGGGTGGGGGCCAGGGGGGGCAGTAGGTCCTCCCCCCTCATTAACTTTATGGCCCCCACCCACCGCTCAAGAGTGGGGGCCGGGGGGAGGACAGTAGGTCCCCCGATTGTCCATTATGGCCCCCACCCACCGCTCAGGGGTGGGGCCAATAGTTTCTTGTTTGTTTGTTTGTTTTTTTTTTTTTACAGTGAGCAGCCACTGGCTGCTCACCATTTACTAGACATGCCCCTACTCGCGGTATAGCGAGTAGGGGCAGATCATTTACTAATACTAAGTAATCTTTACTTAGTATTAGTAAATGTGGCTGAAAGACCAATTTAGGTCTTTCAGCCTTTTGGAAGATAACTCCCTAATACCGTGGGAATTAGGGAGTTATCTACTAAGCGGCTGCAAGATGCAGCCGCGGCACAAATTGAATCGGAGTTTCATTCATTCGAATGAAATTCCGATACGAACAAAGTGCCGAATTGAGTTCTAAAACAAACGAACATACTGTTCTCATTCAGTTAGAACGCAATTCGGCAGTTGAGATGACAGGAAGCATCACGAGATCACAGAGGAAAGGTAAGAATTATGGGAAAATTGCGCTGACCAACGGAAATGAAGCACACTTTGCTCCTCCGCTGGTCAAGTGGAGGAAACCTCCATAAGGCAAAGAGTCCCTACTTTGTCTTTTGATTTTAAAGAAAACTAAAGGAGACAGGAAGAAAAGAAGAACAGATCCTGAGAGAGGGGGAGAAGAGGAAGAGATTGAGGAAAGGTAAGTTCGGCATGACAGTGCCACTTTAATTATGGACTTGTGATGTCGCATTTGACAAGAGGAAGTGCTCAGGATACGCTTTCACTTATATACACTGACTGTGTTCGGATTGGTTCTTTATTTCAACTTTTTTTTGCTGCTATGGAGTTAGTAAAGAAAGTTTATGCAAGCTACTCGCCTCATGTCATTACTAATTAAGAATATTAGTACACTAAATTAGTATAATCTTCAATTTTCTACCAAATTAGTTATTGCTGTCTATTTTGTGCAATTAATATTTCAATGCACTAAATTACACAGCTTAGTGAACAAACCTCTGTGGTTTATTCCCTATCATAAAGTATTCAGTGTACCAATTTAGAAACCAAACTTAAGGCCAAAGTTCTGCTATAGTCCCAAGTATGGATATTTATGGCTTGATTTATTTTATTTTTTTAAATTACACTATAAAGAACGGATAAGTTAAAAAAATAAAAATAAAAAATAAAAACCCACACCTTAGCTTGCTCTTTTTCTCTCATAATATATATCAAATATAAACAAGCTTGGCACTCTAACAAAATGAAAATCACTAGGCCTGAGTGCTAAACCCGTGTTCAATATATATAAAAAAAAAAAAAACAACGAAATAAAAGACCTGTGAGTGCACCCTATTTTGTGTGTGTATATATATATATATATATATATATATATATATATACACATATAAAAATCTAAATATACACCCCCCCCCAGCCAACTCCTTGGTTTTACACCCCTCCCTGTCACAGGTGCCTTATCCCAGGGTCTATTTAGTCTTGTACTGCAGAGCCCCAGATGGATTTTTTTTTTCCCCAACTGGGTTAATCTCATAGGTCAGACATTGGGCTGTTAGAGTAGGACCTGCCAAAGATGGGGTACATTGACATTGTGGCAGGCTTCTGCAATGTATGATCATATAACTAAAAAAAAAAAAAATGAATAAAATCTGTCAACATTGAAGTTGCTGTTTAGTGGATAAGTCAGTGCGCTGGATCTTGTGTTTATACATATATATATATATATATATATGGCATAGAAAGATACGTTTCTCATTTTGTGCCACCCCAACTGTGTCTTTCTCTCCATGCCACTCTTGTCTCCTACCCTGTGCCCCCACTTAGTTTACCTCAAATTGTAGACTCATGATGCAGGTTGGGAGCTGCTGCAGCACTTGCTCTGTGTAGTTCACACGCCTCCCATGCGGATTCTGTCAGTGGAGAGGGCAGGGACATGCAGTGACTTCCTATCTCCGCCTCCCTCCACACACAGCACAATCACCAACAAGTCTTCCAAGCACGGCCTAAGAACATTACACATCTTAGTGGCCGGTGCAGGAATTACAGAAGATTCTCAAGGCAGAGAAAAATACTTGGATTTGCATTGTGCCCGTAAAATACCGGACAATGCACAAATCCAGAATGCACCATCAGCGGGGGAAAGGGCTTTAATACAGACAATCTTTTTTATGAATGGGTAGCTACTGATTTAGCTGCAACCATGCCCTGGGCCACTTCGTTCTTCCTGTAACGCAGATCGGATGCCAAACATTCCAGGAGACGCCCTCATTTCGCATGCGGCTCCCTGACACCCTCATCATGTAAAATGGCACCATAGCTGGTGAAGCCACCTCCCTGAAATACAAGATTGGATGTGTGGGATGCTGACCTTAAGATCAGTGCTGGTGGCAACCTTTGGGGTTTAACTGTTTGAAAACAGTTTAACCCGTTAATGTAGGAGTATGCCTGAGGGCCTCCTGGCACCATAACAACTTAACTTAGATGTAGTTGTTATGGTGAGCGGTGACCAGAGTGTTCCTTTAAAATTAATGTCCTTTAAACTACACTCTTTTTGATCTCAAAGGCATTAATCACAACACTGAGGACTTTGTCCCTTGCTTATGTATGGAATGGGGGAACTGTCATACTTAAAGGGACACTCCAGATCCCTAAAGCACTTTAACTCAGGGTTTGGTTAGCTCAGTGTAGCTAAACTCAAGAGGCAGCAATTGCCCAGAGCACCTGCCTTGCAAAGACTTCTCATAGAGCTGCATTGGGAAGTCTGTGATTGGACGGCCATAGAAAGTCTGGGTAGAAATATAAGGGGAGGGTTTGAAAATGCTGCAGATAAGAGAACTGCAGGTTTTGCAAGCTGTTTAGAGATACACCTCCTTAAAAAATGCATAATCAAATGCATGCAAGTTTTCATTTGGGGTATATCTACTAAACTGCGATTGTATCGATTTTGTATTTGGGCAGTGGAATGTCCCTTTAAGATTGATACCCTGTCCGTGTGCCTTTCGAAAGATACCTTAGGGTACCTTCCCTTACAAGATACTACTATGACATAAACCTTTTAAGAGTAGTGGACTAGAACCTTCAAGGGCTGGAGGAATCTGACGACTCACTACCACCACTTGTTCAGCTGGGAAGATGCATTGGCCCCTATTCTGTACATTTCAGGGTATTTAAAAAAGCAACACAAATTCTACACTAATCTGGCATTAACTGCATATGCTCGCAGCAATCACATACCTATCAATCTCAGGCAGCCAGTACATGCTGGGATCAGTGAGTTCCCAGCATGAACAGTGCTGTTACTGATATTAACTGTCTCACCTCCATGCCTTCAGCTGAGCTCCACATGCAGGGAGGGACATGGAGTCGGAACATGGCGCCTCAATAGCTGGTTGTTGGAGTTTCTGCATGCGGAAGATGAAATGCGGTACAAGGGAGAGGTGAGTAAGTTGACAGAAATATCGGTTAACTGCAATTAGAAATATGCTGAATATTGTCTCTAAACATCGGCAAAACCAATAATTGGTCTATCTCTACTACAAACTATTGACAAAGTGTACCAGAACTCCAGTGATTCTATAAGAGACACACAAGAGGGTGTAAGACATATTAAAGGGGGATAAAATACACTAAAGAGGGTAAGAAAATCAAAAGGGGGGTTACAAGACACACAGATGAAGACACAGGTGTGCTTTGATGTTCCAATGGTGGCTTTCTGTGTGTTTATAATGTGTTCTTCTGCCTGCTCATTGCATTACATGAATAAGATTTAAAGGGACACTATAGTCACCAGAACAACTACAGCTTATTGCATTTGTTCTGGTCAGTAGAATCATTACCTTCAGGCTTTTTGCTGTAAACACTGTCTTTTCAAAGAAAATGCAGTGTTTACCATACAGCCTAGAGATAACTTCACTGGCCACTCCTCAGATAGCTGTTAGAGATCCTTCCTGGGTCATGGCTGCCTAAAATGCATCCAAACATTCAGTATCTCCTCCCTCTGCATGCAGACACTGAACTTTCCTCATGGAGATTCATTGATTCAATTCATCTCTATGAGGAGATGCTGATTGGCCAGGGTTGTGTTTAAATCATGCTGGCTCTGCCCCTGATCTGCCTCGTTGTCAGTCTCAGCCAATCCTATGGGGAAGCATTGTGATTGGATCATGCTACTACTTCTGATGATGTCAGCAGACTGCTTGTTTTTCTGAGGCAAACAGCATGCAGAGTTACAGCTTCAGGCTTGAATACAGTAAGATTTTGCTATATTTATGGACATGAGGGGCCCAGGACATGGACATGAGGGGCCCAGGGGGGGCTAGATTGTGGTTTTAACACTATAGGGTCAGGAATACATGTTTGTGTTCCTGACCCTATAGTGATCCTTTAATTGAAAGAAAAAGTAAAAGTGAAAACCAATGCTGCCTGAACGTAGAACATCAAATGTATCACCTTTAGTACACCCCTACTATCTATCAAATGTATCACCTTTAGTACACTCCTACTATCTATCAAATGTATCACCTTTAGTACACCTCTACTATCTACCAAATGTATCACCTTTAGTACACCCAAACTATCTATGATTTATACATGCTGCCGGGATATAAATATTATAAGCCATCCAGTCAGTGTTGTATTCATAGTTTTGGCTGCCCTATTCCAGTAAATATGTGCCTTCACTTCATGTAAAATCACATTCATACATAGACACACAATTACACACACATTACATACACATACTTAAACACAGTCACATATTCAGATAGACACAGTCACACACAATCACATTTATACATAAATACACAATTACACAAAGTTACCTACATAGACACTTAATCACAAACACATGCACATACATATAGACACAACATCACATATGGTGTCACATACATACATATATAGACGCACTTACAAATAGGTAACCACATACTCAAACAATAATAAAACATCCCTGTCCTAACCTGCGGCTTGCCCTTTACCTGTGGTTGATGAGAATGGGCTTGCATTTTGTCGATGGTGACTAGTGGTGGGTTTGCCAGACAGTTATGCACCGTTTAGCACAGACTCCTTGCTGCTTATCCCTTAGTGGCCAGCATAGTAACATTCAGTTGGTGCCAGTGTATTACTCTGCACCTGCTAACTGTATAAATCTTGACACCCCCTCCATCCTGCCACCCATAGCCTAAGCCTAGTCACCTTAGGCCAAAATACGTTCTTGCATCCAGTGTGTGTGAAACTGAGCATCTATTTTTATATCCCAACTTGGATAGGGTAACCAATATTTCCTTGCAGTATAGGGTAACCTATATTTCCTAAAAGTCAAGAACAAACACCAAACTCGCTTCCCCCTGCAGCCTTGCTGTAAATAATGCAATTTCCACACCTACTTGTAGTTGTCAGTAGGACAGTCACCATGACAGAGGAAGGGGATGCGTCAGCACTTCAGATGCTGTGGATACATCTCCCATAATGCTCTCGCAGACATGCTGTCTATGCTGGCAATGCATCAGGAGAGATGTTGTCCATAACCTTTGTAGTGCCACAGGTTGTTTACCCCCGCTATAGCAGTGATGTCACTATATGAGTGGGATATTCCATTTTGGGGCATTATTTTTTAAGAATAGATTGTTTACAATTATTAGTACTGTCATTTTTTTCTTTTAGTTTTCCTTTCCTTATGTCGCTCATATCTTGATAATTATCCCTTTATTTATTTATTTATACTATCTATTCTTCTTTGCACTGGATCTAAAAAATGTTTTTAAAAATTCATTTGACGAATTCTTGCAGTGTAACAGTGCAATGTATCACCCTGTGTAATGTTTTCTTACTGGCTTCCTACTCCTGATAAATTATTCAGGGCAGGGAATGCTATATCAATATTTATATTGGAATATTTTATCCCACCCATGAAATATTTTGATTAATTGGAAACGTTGTGTGAAAATAATCATGTGATCGCACATACACAACTGGCTAAACTAATCTGGTTATTCTGAATGTAAAATATAAATATATGTATTAATGTTCCAATCAGATGAATTTTTTCCTAACAGGGGCAATATCCAAAATGTAATATTTTCAACCGCCCCCCAAAAACAAACTCCAACTACCCCAACCTCCTTCCTATCTATCTCACTTGAACTATTCCGTTCCTTCTTTCCCCATTTTTTACCAATTCATTCTGCTTATCTGTTACCCCTTTATGTTCCACATTGCTTTTATAATCTCATATCTCTCTTGTTCACTTTTGCCTCTTCCATGTTCTAGTTAGCTTTTATGATCTCCACATCTTTTCTCTATTCTCTTCTTTTTATCCCTTTTTTTTGTTCACCGTATCGCCTATATCCATTACTCCTTTTCTCTCCTGCGTTTTTCTACCTGCTTTGTGTCTTTTTTATTGCTCTATCCTATTTTTCTTTTTTTTGTTTTTTTTAACTCTTTCTTCCCTTTTTGTACATTTCGGTTTCCCTCTCTGGTTTCTTGTCAACTCTTTTACCCTGTCATCTGTCTTTGTTTCTCTGTTTTCCAACTGCTCCCAGGAAACATCGCTCTTGCCCGGTTTTCCTTGCCCATACACATATATTGCCAAGAAGAGCTCAGTGAACGCTGTACTCAGTGCGCTATATGTAACTTGTGACATTCTCATGTGTGAAGTTTTTAAACTTTTTTTTTCTGCTGCTGTCATTGAAACGGTGGGGGGGGGGGGGGGTCATGTTGGGGCATGTTAACAGGTGCTCATTCTTTGGAATCAGTACTGCAGCTTAACTAACTGAGACGCAATTCACTTACATATATCCCCATACATTTTTATTCCTCTACCTCTGCAATCCTGACCTCTGCATTGGAGAATAATGAATTCTGAATGAATGGCAAAATTTGAACTACAATAACAAAGTTAGATAATTTTACTAGATCAGCTATTTTTGCTTTACTTTTTCTATCCTGGTTGTAATTTCTTACAAAGTTTAATGAATAACCGTACTTGCCATTTTTATTTAAAGTTTATGCTAAGTACCAACACTACTGCATCTTAATGTAATGGTTTTGATGCATTGACACCGTCCCTTACCATGATGAGGCCCAACAATGCTTCTCAGAGAGAAGCACGGAATTCAGTGCTTCTCGGTGAAAAGCAATGGATTGGCAGAATGAAGAGATTGCAGCACTGTACGTCCACAGTGATGATCAATACTGATGGTATTATTGTAAGAAGAATGGCTGAATCACAAGTAAGTTTTAAAAAGCTTTTTATTTAATTTTAACAAAGTGCAGCCCTGCACCCAAACTATAAAATAAACACTGTAACATTATAAATAAATATAATTATTTGTTAACCTTTGAGTGTTCCTTTAATGTGTACTTATAGTGATACTGTCACTCACCCTTTCTGAAAAATGAGTATTTCTTAAAGATAGCATCTAGTAGGTTCAATCACCAGAGAAGGCTGCAGGGAATTGGCTCTGTCTATGGAGGATCCTTCGTAGGCCTCATTGCTATACTCTTGCGCATGTACGAGAGTACAGCAGTGAACTCAGAAGTGGCGTGCCAGGAGTTAAAGGACCACTCTAGGCACCCAGACCACTTCAGAATTGTAAATGCTTTCCTATGAGACCGGCTGAATGGGCGCGCAGCTCTTGCCGCGCGTGCGCATTCAGCCGGCGGGGCGTAACGGAGGAGGATCGGAGGAGGAGCGCCCAGCGCTGGAAAAAGGTAAGTTTTTACCCCTTTCCCCCTTCCAGAGCCGGGCGGGAGGGGGTCCCTGAGGGTGGGGGCACCCTCAGGGCACTATAGTGCCAGGAAAACGAGTATGTTTTCCTGGCACTATAGTGGTCCTTTAAAGAGGACCCTTGTTGGAAGAAGGCTGTGCCCGCGAGGGACAGGTTCAGGTACGTAGAACTCACATTTACTTGCCCCCCTCCTGGCCACCAGACAACCACAACGATGTCACCATCGGGAATCGTTGAGAATTCTGCAAAGTCTCGAGCTGGTGACAGTGCCGCTTTAATGCTTTTACAAATTAGACCAATACTTTGGTCTTTTATTAAATTATATATTTTCCTACATTAGAATCAATAGTTCATTAATCTCATTTTTTTAAAAATTTTTTACAATTTTTAATCAAGATATTTTCTAAACAGAATACGCATTGAATGTTTTCTATAATACATATCGTATCAATTTAAAAAATATAGTATTTGCAACAGCTTGCTCTCATAATGGATTTGTACCTTGAGAACGTGGAGACTTTATATGTAAAACTACATGTAAAACTACAGATAGCTGTTGTAAGCATGTTCTTTTACAAGACATATGGCAGAATTAGTCTCACTATCATTTCAAGCATCTATAGTGCGCATTTTATGCCAAAATATCTAAATAGTAGAAACTAAAATCTCTAGCTACAGCAAGTTACAGCACCGTCCGTGAGAGAGATGTGTGAGTCTCATATTTTAGGGGTGTATATCTATCATCACTCTGTAGTTTGGGATGTTAGCTTTCTGGTACGAATTAAACTTGAAGCTAATAAAAATATTAACATACTAGTATATATAAGCACAGGTAATAACCTCGTTTGTAAAAAAAAAAAAAAAAAGTCATGTAAACATGTCTGTCCCCAATATACCCTGTAGATTGTAACTAAGTGCACTATACTATATTTGCACACACACACAAAAATGGATAGCACTCTAGAATTAAGTAACAGAAATAAAACCTAACTTTTATTTATCCACGTTTCTGTTTTCCTTTTAACGTTTATCCACGTTTTTCCTTCATTGGGTCGGTATGGGATGCATCAAGTCACATATCTTCATTTCTAAAACATTATGTTCTAATGGGTTTATAATTTTGCTTTACATTCTAAGCATTTATTTTTCTATTTTCTGTTACACAGGTGTTTGACCACGTTTTGGAGGTCGTATATGTCATCAGATACATTCTAGGAAATTCACAATTCGCCCATGGTAATATGAATAAAATCAGCAAAGATCTGTTCTACTATTCCAAACGTACCTGTTTAATGAGAAATGTGTCCAGATCCAGTTGGATGTCCTTCCTGTCAACTTCAAGCGACTAAGCAAGTTGTGGCCTCTTTAGTTATCCAGTCATTATCTTTCTGATGACATGTTGGGAGCATCACCCTATATTGCTGCTACGATCAGTGTGGTGTCCACTAAAGCTAAGCCTGAAGCCACCTTAGGTAGTCAGAGACTGGGATTCAAACTTTGATAGAACGTTGTCTACTGCTTTAGAATCTTAGTCATTTTAAAGCCATTTCGCTGGACCTCCTCAAATGCTGTAACTCCCTCAGGAGTAGACTCAATACGTCTTTAGAGCTTCAGTAGATCCGTCATGTAATGATGACTTTTATATCTCCAGCCAAAGGCAATTTCGATAAAATTTAGGTATGTGTGAAAGTCCTTAGACAAGCAGCTCAGATCCCATTAAGTATTATTTGTTATTTTTTTCCTGGACTGGTGGTGAGGAAGATGTAGCTCGGTCCAGTGGTCTATATTTCAAGGAATAGGTGAGATCAGCAGATTGTGGACCTCTGAAGACCTCTAAGAAATGTGCAATCATGGACTTCCCCACAGCAAGCTCTTGTTCCAACTCCAGTCACTGCTTGTCTCACACCTAAACTTGTTGCACCTCTGCCTTTTTCCCATTTGAGCTCCTCCCCCACCTCACCTCTGTGATGACTTTAACCCTTTGATGCTGTGGCAGTTGGCAGGGCTCCATCCTGTGATGTTTAACTCATTAAAGAAGGGGTGTGTCACCGAGCAGACAGCTCAAAACACACAAGAAAGGAAGAGGGATTTGGGGATTACCTGTGAGATGTACATTAGAGCAGGAAGCGCCTCACAGACTGCAGGACACCTACTCAGGAAAGCATCAAGGCACCACCAATAAGTGGGCATGTGTTATGCACTTCATAAGTGATTGTATATACAGTTTTTTTTTATTTGTTTGCAATAGTATTTAGTACAGACACATTTAGTATGTACATTATTATTTTTAGTATCCTCATTCTTAGTTTTCTTGTTTTACTTTACGTTTTCTTTAAGATTGCTTTCAACATGTGCCAAGAAAACATTATTTATTTATTATTTTACTGAATTAGGCTTTACTTCCTCTGCTTCAAGGCAGTTCTTGATATATACTACTCTTTCTGCAAATGGTCACTGTTTTGTTTGTTTTTTATTCTCTTTTTTATTGATTTTCAAGAAAAAAATTAACATACAATGTACATTACAAGGTTTGAGAAGCAAAAAACAGCATTACTGACATTCATACGCATGCAATGAGATTTTAACGTTGTGGTCATATTTGTAATATAGCACAATGCACTGTTCGTTGGTTTATACTTGTTTAATGTTTCTAACATCACTATTGAACATAAATGGCAATAATAATAATAATAATAATAGTATACTTGTAACAATAAGTATCCCGGGTCGGGTATGTAGGGCAAGAGAGGGAGAAATTACTGGGGGGGGGTTACAAATATGAAACAGAACAAATGTCTACGCTGGTATCCCATAGATCGCCCTATATGGTGTGGTTTAATCTCTTTTTTTTGTTTTGTTTTTTTGTTATTAACTCTTTGTATCAGTGTTCGTGAAGAAAATTTAACCTGTAAGGTATATGACACAATTTGGTGAGCAGTCCCAGATAGTAATCAGTTTTTTAAATATAAAACTTTAAATGCCATTTTGTTTCAATATTATTATTATTTTTATTCAAAAACTCTTAATTCCCAACTTTATTTAACCCCTTATATATTATAATGTTTCTGTCAGGTTTACTCTCTCCCTTCTCTCAGTGCATGAGTATATTTGGGTGTTGTGCATGTTTGTAGTATGTTGAATTCATATGTCCAATAAAGAAAATGAATTATCCCAAGAAAAAAAACATGATGATGCCTTAATTGATTTTCTTCCTGCAGTTTATGAAAGCCACATATCACAGGGTCCCCAAAATTATTAAGTTAACCCCTGGACCAGGAGACTGAGTATTAACCAGGCCTCTACTGGGTGGCGACTTTATTTTTTTATTTTAATAGGGCTAAATGACTTGTACCCCCTTTGGTCCTATCAGTATTATCTCATCTAGTCCATTAATCATTGGATTAAGGGTACCCCAAGTCCACTATTACGATAATCCTCCATCACACATACCAGCGGATAGATAAAGGGCTAGAGGACATTTGCTGTGCATCACCAGTTAATCAAAAGGTCTAAGGGACCCTAGACTTTTGTTTATGACCTCACCATATGCATGTTATATATATATATATCATTTTATTATTTTACCTTTTCAGAATTTTGGAATAGAGCATTGTGTCAGTTTGACTGCTAGCTAAACTAGGTAGCTTTATTGGTATTCCTCCATTACAGGGACGTTATGCATGGAAAATACCAAAACTAATTCCGCACTCCAAAAATATGCTTTATAAAGTTTCTTTATTAGTAATGGAAATTTCATATTGCCACAATTGGTATTGTTTGAAGTGAAGACTTTATGCATGGCCCTTCTCCTACTAACTGTAGACTTTCCAGAAAATGCTCAATTTTACCTCTGAAACCACAAACATCACCTAATGAATGAGTAATGGAATCACAATTTCCACACAAGTTGTCTTCCTGCAGTGGAATCGGTGACTTTATAACAGCTTCAGTATCTGTCCAGGACAACATAAAGGAGAAACTGCTATGTTTACATTGTAGGTTTAATCCAGCCTGTAGTGGCTATCTTCCTGACAGCCGCTAGAGGTGCTTCTGCGACGCTGGATACGAAACTCGCATTCAGCGTGCAGAACGTCCATAGGAAAGCATTGAGAAATGCTCTCCTATGGTCTGTTTGAATGCGCGCGCAGCTCTTGCCGTGCATGCGCATACCGCTCCACTCGGGAGCTGACATTGGCGGGGGAGGAGAGGTCACCAGCGCCAAGGGAGCCCGGTGGTTTGAATCCCTTCAGCCCAGCGGGAGGGAGACCCTGAGGGTGGGGGGGACCTAAGGGTAATATAGTGTCAGGAAAACAAGTTTGTTTTCCTGACACTATAGTGATCCTTTATTTTTCCTTCTTATCATATATTACCAGAAATGCCCCATAATTTTATAATAATATGTTTTATATATATAGAATGTCATATGAGTTTTAAAGCCAGAATTCAATTACACGTTGTAATAATTTTTCTATCTAAATGTTTCAATAATCCACAAATAAACAAAAAAGACAGTTGGCACAAATGAATAATATTGGTCTTTATATTAAACATAATCTCAGTTGTTTTGTGCTCTAAATTTGCTGCCTGATTAATGAGCAGCACATTGCAGTGTCTCTGGGAATGTGTATGAATTTTGACATTTAAGTTTTGATTATCTATGATTAGATTTTGCATTTGTCCTTGATTTACATTTTTGTTCACAATTTATTTGATAAAATGAAAAGTTACCTATATTTTAGCCCATACAACATCAAGTTCTTTTTGTTTAAAAAAAAAAAAAAATCAAAACATTTATTTGAAGCAAGAGATGCAAAGCTATTCCATAAATATAGAATGCCAAACAATTTAGGTTTTTATTTGTACATCCGTTACTGATAAATTTTTGGGCTGTAAGTTTTACAGGTTATATGATAGTTTTCTTGCAATATTTTAGGAAGGGACTGAAATATAGAGAGAAGCATAGAAGCAAAAATACCAGCTTTGTCATGTACAGTACGTGTAAAAAAATAAATTAAAATTGTCTAATATCCTGGTTATGGTTATTTTAAGGAACCTGATTGAATTGCGATATCCTTAAAATACCACCATCATTCTATAATGACTTTATTGAGGCATAACACCCTAAAACAGTTAATAGGTTCACAACAAGTATCTGTACAATACACGGCATGTAAGCTGTAATATCCTGAAAAGAAACCGTGTTCTCAGAACGCCACTCAATACATTGCCCTCCATGAATGCTAGAATGCAGCCATAATGATGTTTGCCTTTCAAAGACGTATCTGTACAACACAGAAGTAGGGTTGGAAGGGGTCACCATTTACAGCATGGGTCGTCAACCTGGTCCCTACCGCCCACTAGTGGGCGTTTCAGGATTCCAGGTGGGCGGTAGGGATTTTCTCATTTTGAGAGATTGGGTGGGCGGCCGGGCGGCTGCGAGCCGGCGGTACCCCTGCGACCGGGTACCGCCATCACCACTTACGGTCCCGGCCCGCGCGGCAAACCACCGGGGCCGTATATGCTGTCAGGGCCACCCGATCGATGTGGATTTTGAGGGGGCCCGGTCAGCGCTGGACGCTTTAACAGCGCGACCAGGCCCCCTGTGATTACATCACACGCTGGGAGGAAGTGACTGCACGTCACTCCTCCCAGCTAACACACAGACCACGCGGTCTTATGTGTGTGTCTTTGTTCGTGTGTGTCTGTATGTATGTGTGCCCAGGGCCGGACTGGCCCACCGGGATACCGGGAAATTTCCCGGTGGGCCGCGGCACCTGGGGGCCGGCCGCGTTCCTGGGCCGGCCCTTTAAATACTGCAGCTGCCCGAGTGCTCTGTTAAGAGCCTCAGGCGGCTGCAGCTTCTCCCCTGTAGCGTGGCCGAGCTGCACTCCGGTCCGCGGTGGCCGACCGGCCGGAGTGATAGGAAGGTGCACACTGAGTCGGTTACAGGAAACAGAAACTCCTGTTCCGCGCGGAGTTTCTGTTTCCTGTAACCGGCCGGACTGACAGGAAGTGCACACTGAGTGTGCACCTTCCTATCACTCCGGCCCGGCCACCGGACGGAATTACGCTATAGGGGAAGTAGAGAAAGGATAGAGAATAAGAAGAGGAGAATAAGGGAGGAGGAATAAAAAAGAGGGGAGGGAATAGATGAGGGGAATAAAAGAGGGAGGGAATAAGAAAGAGGGAGGGAATAATAAGATGAGGGAGGGAATAATAAGATAGGGAGGGGAATAAAAGAGGGGGAATAGAAGGGAGGGAATAAAAAGAGGGGAGGGGGGAATAAGATGACGGGAGGGGGGAATAAGAAGAGGGGAGGGAGGGATAAGAAGAGGGGGAAATAAAAAGAGGGGAGGAGGGGAATAAGATGAGGGGAGGGAGGGGAATAAGAAGAGGGGAGGGGGGGAATAAGATAGGGGGGGAATAAGAAGAGAGGAGGGAGGGGAATAAGAAGAAGGGGCAGCTCTATAGGACAGGGGCCAAGACAGGGAGCTCTTTCA